TATGAGAGCTCCCCCTTCCAGCTGGAAAAGGTTCAGCTGAGTCAATGCACTCGGAGGAAAAAAAAAAGATTGAAAGGAAATTTTGCTGTCCTCATACATTAGTCTTACATATGAGATTATCAATATGTAGGCAGATATGCCTCTAGATTTTCACTCAACTTCTCAACTTGGCTTTTTATTATATGGGATGAAAAAAAAAATGTACACACGCGCGCGTATAATAATAATAATAATAATAATAATATATGTGTATATATATATATATATATATATATATATAAATACTTACACAACACAATTTGCCTAGCACCAAACCAAAGTTGCTACTGGTTTGGTGAGACCAAACTTGAGCTAAAGGGAGAGTGACTATTGAGCTTACTTCCATCAAGAGGACAGAAACATGTCTTCAGTGGTTCACTGATGAAAGTGTAAGTAGTTGACTGTTTGCTAACACTTTAGCATGAACTGTTCCCCTGACTGGATGATGCTAGTAATGTACCAATATTTTCTACTAAAACAAAACATTTAGTTCTTGGTACAAAGTACGATACAGTACAGTACAATCACAGTCACAGTCACATTGAATGAATTCACTCTGTCTTGCACCAGTATCAAACATAAAAGTGCTCATACATTAAACTCTTTCTGATAATGGTTAATGGATCATGTAGTAATGCTTTAGAGATCAGTTATAAGTAATTATAAGAACAACTTTTAGGTTGTGGAAAATCCTCCTCCAGTATGACATTAACATTAATAAATCAATCAATTACAACTTATATACTCTTTATAAATAGTGGCTTTTCAGAAAGTGACACCATGATATTGTATTATTTGGTTAATATTACTGATGTGTTACTATGAAAGTAGTATTTTAATGTTGTAGCTGGAAAAGCGGAACTAGTTACTTCATACGCGTTTTTCGTATTAAATCAATCACAGAAAAAATATGACCATCAGATGTTTTGTATAAAATCTGAATCTGCAAATTAAACAGATGTTAGACAAATGTAGTAGTAAATATAGTAGTAAATTGGCATACTATAATAATAGATATTGTATCACTCTTTATGGCTTGGAGATGTAAGTGATGCATTTAATATCTTTCATCTGCAGCAATTGCACTTATTAATTTGGAATAAAATGGCCTTATTGATTTTTTTTTTATGTTTCGCATGGGTTCATCATTTTTTTACTTCTTGCGTGTCTGCTTAAACAGTCATGTATCAAAAAAATTAAGTTTAGAGCTTCCTTCCATAAATCCTGATGATATTCTACAGGAATATCAGCTCATTAGTCCATCTCCACACTGAAATCTGTTTATAATGAGAAACATGATGCTTTGTGACGACAGCCTGAAACCAATGTATCTCTGGAGGAAGAGCCTCCCAGAGATGTTGTTCGTCAAACACACAATATGTGATAAGAAGAACAGATATCTGAACTCTTCTGACTGATGAGGATATTCTTAGGTGAGTGAAGTGCTCTTTTATTCTGAATGTTGGATGTGTAATACAAACAGTTCATTATCATGTTCTTTTATCTAAGGGGGTAGACATTCAACTAGAGTTGTGTTATATGCACGTTTTATGTATTTATTTTATTTCTCATTTGTATATGGATTTTTAATTCATGTTTTTCTTTAACAGGTGTGCTCCAGTGCACAGCTGCAAAATGCAGAACCTGACTGAACTTCCAGCCAATGCAACATCCCAGAGAAGCCTGTCTGTCATCATCAAGGTGTGTGTGGCAATCCCCTTCTTCTGCATCTTCCTGTGCTGCATTGCTGTTATGCTGCACATCTTTGCGTCTCACAGGCAGTTCCTGGAGACGTCCCGTTACATCCTGTTTACCTACATGCTGATCAATGACACCCTCCAGCTCTTGTCCTCTGTGGTGCTCTTCCTCTGTGTCATGGGTCAGGTGAAATTTGCTATTGTGTACTGTGTTCCTCTTCTGTTCATATCCACTGCCACTTTCCAGAACACACCCTTAATCCTGGCCACCATGTCACTGGAGCGTTATGTCGCCATCTTCTATCCGCTCAAACAGCCGGCCACCTGGCACTCAGACCGTATCTGGATCATTATTCTGTCTCTTTGGTTCATCAGTTGTATCTTCCCTATCATTGAATACTCCATTGGGGAACTTGATCTTGCTCTGGATGTCCTCTCTACCCCTGTGCTTTGCAAAACTGTCGTCATCAACTCTTCTCCAATCCAGAAATTGTTTAGAGCTGCTATAAATGTGCTCTTCTTTGCAGTAGTGGCTGTCATCATCCTCTTTACATATGTGAGAATCCTGCTCGAAACCAGGAAGCTGAGACAGGACAGAGAATCTGTGAGCAAAGCCATGCACACTGTGCTGCTCCACGGCTTTCAGTTGTTGCTATGTATGCTGGCCTTCACTCACCCTATCACTGAAACTCTCATAGTGCTGCCCGCTCATCTACGGCTTTAGAGATCAGAACCTCAGGGGCTACATTGGGAAAGCATTCCTCTGCTGCTCAAAAAAAGTCAAAACCACACGTTGATTTAGTTTTGATTGATCTCTCAAACATAATGCACAAATATCATAGGATGTATTTTGTGATGTTTTAACAGGGTCTCTGGTACAGGTCTAAACAAGTCTTAAAGGATAGCTTAACAATTTTTCAAGACTGCCTTTAAACAAAACTCAGGTGCCCATATGAACATTAGGAGCCGTGTGTGTGTGTGTGTGTGTTGTGATTATTTCTCCTGTTCGAGGTCAGAAACCTTTTGTTCTTTCAAAGTTCATCTGAAGCATCTGTAATAGAGTATGAAGCTTCAGCAGTCTGAGTTAGACAGATCAATGTGGTATCTGTCAAAGTTAGTCTTTTTATTATAAAGTTCTCTCTAAAGAAATATGGGCACCTGACTACTGAATTAAGACAGATTTGACAAATTGTGAACTCATCCTTTAAAAAGCATTGAGTCAAGTTTCTTCTATAAAAGGCCTTGGAATTTTTTTTAAAGTCTTAAGCAGTGATGTCAGTTATGAAATGTTTTTCTGATTGCAGGCCAAACTAAAATGGGAATTGTTTCACCTGCTGAATCGTTTCTTGTGGAGTGTCAGTGAGGACATCAGGACATCATATTGTTCTGATCTATAGATTTACAGACTATTAAAGCATTTGTGATACTTTGAGAAATCTATTTTCCAGCACTGAACAAGAATGAACCAGGAATTGATTCAGTCTCTTGTGCCCTCTGCTGCCCTGTGAAATCAATTACAGCACCACTTTTTGGGACATGATCAACACCTTTATAGAGCCACTGCTGTTAAATATAAACCATGCAGGCAGTGCTGGTAAATCCGTGCCAGCAGCATCAATAAAGGTTACTCAGTCGTGTGAATGAATTTAATCTATCATACTGGCAGCTGCTCTGGGATGCAGTATCTCATTCTCTCGTTGAGCATGCAGTGCTGATCATGCAGGATTTATGGATTACTTAACACACTAATATTTGCATGCACAAACCAGTGTGTTCCCAAAACTGCCACCTGAATGCATATGCAGATACATACAAATTATCCTGTTTGATCAAAGTTTGCCAAAACTGTGTTACAAGAGTGGTGGGGTTTTTTTTGTAAGGATACTTATTGTGTGATTGCAACAATATAAATATCCAAATAAACAGTAATACAGAATTTAACTGCAAGTGACTATTGAGCTTACTTCCATCAAGAGGACAGAAACATGTCTTCAGTGGTTCACTGATGAAAGTGTAAGTAGTTGACTGTTTGCTAACACTTTAGCATGAACTGTTCCCCTGACTGGATGATGCTAGTAATGTACCAATATTTTCTACTAAAACAAAACATTTAGTTCTTGGTACAAAGTACGATACAGTACAGTACAATCACAGTCACAGTCACATTGAATGAATTCACTCTGTCTTGCACCAGTATCAAACATAAAAGTGCTCATACATTAAACACTTTCTGATAATGGTTAATGGATCATGTAGTAATGCTTTAGAGATCAGTTATAAGTAATTATAAGAACAACTTTTAGGTTGTGGAAAATCCTCCTCCAGTATGACATTAACATTAATAAATCAATCAATTACAACTTATATACTCTTTATAAATAGTGGCTTTTCAGAAAGTGACACCATGATATTGTATTATTTGGTTAATATTACTGATGTGTTACTATGAAAGTAGTATTTTAATGTTGTAGCCGGAAAAGCGGAACTAGTTACTTCATATACTTTTTTTTCGTATTAAATCAATTACAAAAAAACACATAACCTCATCAGATGTTTTGTATAAAATCTGAATCTGCAAATTAAACAGACGTTAGACAAATGTAGTAGTAAATATAGTAGTAAATTGGCATACTATAATAATAGATATTGTATCACTCTTTATGGCTTGGAGATGTAAGTGATGCATTTAATATCTTTCATCTGCAGCAATTGCACTTATTAATTTGGAATAAAATGGGCTTATTGATTTTTTTTTTATGTTTCGCATGGGTTCATCATTTTTTTACTTCTTGCGTGTCTGCTTAAACAGTCATGTATCAAAAAAATTAAGTTTAGAGCTTCCTTCCATAAATCCTGATGATATTCTACAGGAATATCAGCTCATTAGTCCATCTCCACACTGAAATCTGTTGATAATGAGAAACATGATGCTTTGTGACGACAGCCTGAAACCAATGTATCTCTGGAGGAAGAGCCTCCCAGAGATGTTGTTCGTCAAACACACAATATGTGATAAGAAGAACAGATATCTGAACTCTTCTGACTGATGAGGATATTCTTAGGTGAGTGAAGTGCTCTTTTATTCTGAATGTTGGATGTGTAATACAAACAGTTCATTATCATGTTCTTTTATCTAAGGGGGTAGACATTCAACTAGAGTTGTGTTATATGCACGTTTTATGTATTTATTTTATTTCTCATTTGTATATGGATTTTTAATTCATGTTTTTCTTTAACAGGTGTGCTCCAGTGCACAGCTGCAAAATGCAGAACCTGACTGAACTTCCAGCCAATGCAACATCCCAGAGAAGCCTGTCTGTCATCATCAAGGTGTGTGTGGCAATCCCCTTCTTCTGCATCTTCCTGTGCTGCATTGCTGTTATGCTGCACATCTTTGCGTCTCACAGGCAGTTCCTGGAGACGTCCCGTTACATCCTGTTTACCTACATGCTGATCAATGACACCCTCCAGCTCTTGTCCTCTGTGGTGCTCTTCCTCTGTGTCATGGGTCAGGTGAAATTTGCTATTGTGTACTGTGTTCCTCTTCTGTTCATATCCACTGCCACTTTCCAGAACACACCCTTAATCCTGGCCACCATGTCACTGGAGCGTTATGTCGCCATCTTCTATCCGCTCCAACAGCCGGCCACCTGGCACTCAGACCGTATCTGGATCATTATTCTGTCTCTTTGGTTCATCAGTTGTATCTTCCCTATCATTGAATACTCCATTGGGGAACTTGATCTTGCTCTAGATGTCCTCTCTACCCCTGTGCTTTGCAAACCTGTCGTCGTCACCTCATCTCCAATCCAGAAATTGTTCAAAGCTGCTATAAATGTGCTCTTCTTTGCAGTAGTGGCTGTCATCATCCTCTTTACATATGTGAGAATCCTGCTCGAAACCAGGAAGCTGAGACAGGACAGAGAATCTGTGAGCAAAGCCATGCACACTGTGCTGCTCCACGGCTTTCAGTTGTTGCTATGTATGCTGGCCTTCACTCACCCTATCACTGAAACTCTCATAGTGCTGCACGCCAACTGGCTACCGGAAGACATCGCCTTTTTTAATTACTTCTGCTTCATACTAATCCCACGCTTTCTCAGCCCGCTCATCTACGGCTTTAGAGATCAGAACCTCAGGGGCTACATTGGGAAAACATTCCTCTGCTGCTCAAAAAAAGTCAAAGCCACACGTTGATTTAGTTTTGATTGATCTCTCAAACATAATGCACAAATATCATAGGATGTATTTTGTGATGTTTTAACAGGGTCTCTGGTACAGGTCTAAACAAGTCTTAAAGGATAGCTTAACAATTTTTCAAGACTGCCTTTAAACAAAACTCAGGTGCCCATATGAACATTAGGAGCCGTGTGTGTGTGTGTGTGTGTTGTGATTATTTCTCCTGTTCGAGGTCAGAAACCTTTTGTTCTTTCAAAGTTCATCTGAAGCATCTGTAATAGAGTATGAAGCTTCAGCAGTCTGAGTTAGACAGATCAATGTGGTATCTGTCAAAGTTAGTCTTTTTATTATAAAGTTCTCTCTAAAGAAATATGGGCACCTGACTACTGAATTAAGACAGATTTGACAAATTGTGAACTCATCCTTTAAAAAGCATTGAGTCAAGTTTCTTCTATAAAAGGCCTTGGAATTTTTTTTAAAGTCTTAAGCAGTGATGTCAGTTATGAAATGTTTTTCTGATTGCAGGCCAAACTAAAATGGGAATTGTTTCACCTGCTGAATCGTTTCTTGTGGAGTGTCAGTGAGGACATCAGGACATCATATTGTTCTGATCTATAGATATACAGACTATTGAAGCATTTGTGATACTTTGAGAAAACTATTTTCCAGCACTGAACAAGAATGAACCAGGAATTGATTAAGTCTCTTGTGCCCTCTGCTGCCCTGTGAAATCAATTACAGCACCACTTTTTGGGACATGATCAACACCTTTATAGAGCCACTGCTGTTAAATATAAACCATGCAGGCAGTGCTGGTAAATCCGTGCCAGCAGCATCAATAAAGGTTACTCAGTCGTGTGAATGAATTTAATCTATCATACTGGCAGCTGCTCTGGGATGCAGTATCTCATTCTCTCGTTGAGCATGCAGTGCTGATCATGCAGGATTTATGGATTACTTAACACACTAATATTTGCATGCACAAACCAGTGTGTTCCCAAAACTGCCACCTGAATGCATATGCAAATACATACAAATTATCCTGTTTGATCAAAGTTTGCCAAAACTGTGTTACAAGAGTGGTGGGGTTTTTTTTGTAAGGATACTTATTGTGTGATTGCAACAATATAAATATCCAAATAAACAGTAATACAGAATTTAACTGCAAGTGACTATTGAGCTTACTTCCATCAAGAGGACAGAAACATGTCTTCAGTGGTTCACTGATGAAAGTGTAAGTAGTTGACTGTTTGCTAACACTTTAGCATGAACTGTTCCCCTGACTAGTATTTTAATGTTGTAGCTGGAAAAGCGGAACTAGTTACTTCATATACATATACAGTAATACCGAATTTAACTGCAAGCCAATATCTCCTTTATTTTTAATCCTTTAACTAAATTAATTTGGTTTAATTTAATTTTTATATCATAATTTAAATATGTGTAAAAACATTTTTGTACTAATGTTATATTTATATTGTCGATAAGAGGGAAAATTACAGAACAGATATCTCTAGACCTCATAAATTATACTTTTTTCTTTCTTTGCACGTTCTTGTGAATTCAATATAAAAAGTTTGTTTTGGGTGAAAATATTAAAGTGGTCACCTATAAATCCCTTGTTAACTGGTTGTTTTTGTTACTGTGCAGCCAATCACATCCTGATGCCACTTGTGGTTTCATCTTACACCCAATAATAATCTCCTTAATGATTTACAGATTTGTTTTCTTAAAAGTCTATAATGTAGAGCTCATTACTACAGTCTGGTTGTTGTACAGAGCTGTAGCCTGCAGGTGTCGCTTAATACTTATATACAGCCATAACTTCTTTTTTAGAAAGCAAATGTTTTACCTTAGCCACCCACTTCAAAGCATTAAACTTAAACTGAAAAAAACATATATATATATATATAGAGAGAGAGAGAGAGAGAGAGAGGTGGCATATATCTATTTGTATGCAGCCAGGCTCATTCAATCAGAAACAAGTACCACAAACTGGCGCTGGACCCAAACTCCATAAAGTTTTCTATGATGTTATCATAGAGGAAATATAAACCTGATGGGTGAATACACAGATGAGAAACTAATTGATTTGGTTGAAGTCAGGCTGGTCAGTGAAAGTTGATCCCCAGATCTGAGGGAGATCCTCATGTGGACTGTAGAGACACGGTTAATGTCTACAGTAGAGAAGAAGGGGAGGGGGGAGGGGAGGGGAGGGAAGGGGGTGGGGGGGGGCAGGTAGCAAATCCTGAAGAATCCTCAGTGCTACAGTTCAGTAAAAGTGAGAAGGGCCTCAGACACACCCAAGCTGCTGTCGAAAACGCTGAAACCAGCTCAAAGTATTTTTTCCTGCGCTGGAGTATGAATTGTCTTCCAACGTGTTTTACGTTCAGCTTGGGCTCTCCTGAACTGTAGCATGTGATCCCCCGTCGTCAGGAGAAATGTTATACATCGCTGCTAAAGTAAAGGCAGCGGGATCAGCGTTGAACGAAGCTGATCGATTACTTGAGATTATATTGACCAGATGAAGCTTGGAGAGGCTGGAGGACATCAAACGGTGACGTGGACATTGCAGATGAATGCATGATTGATTCACAACTTATCAGAGGGATGGAAAGCGCTTTTTTTTTCCAATTTCCAATGGCGTGAAATGACAAGTTTTCCATTGATATCCCCCCTAGTACCGGAGATGATTTGTTGGCTGCCCCAATGCGTCGAGAGACAGCTGCTGGCAGCTGTAATATAGTTTGTGGACAATTAGTAATGGAAAGATTCCGCTCCTAATTGCTCTGTCGTGATCTGATATCATCAGTGGCAATCTTTGAGCTGCTCTTACACAGTGAATAATAATGGAACAAAGTTTTTTGCAGCCATGATGAATGAGAGCATGATGTGGAGGTTTATTTGGATATGGTACGTCAGGACCATGCTGGGAAGCCTGTCATTTAAACTTCATTATCTTGAGGCCCTGAATTTCGCCATCCATCAGAAAATTAGCAATTACAGACTCAATGACCTGAGACAATAAATTTGGTGGAGGGTAGAACGGCTTTTAGATCTTCTTTCTTGCCCAGAAACTTTCCATTATGTTGGAAGAGGAGAATGACTGATGAGGAACAGGACTTATCAGTCACTTCCCACACCAATTTATGCTCATGATTCAACAGTTTTCTGTGTGGAAGTCACTGCACGAGTTTTATGGAGGAGCCATGGAAACTTTAAGACAGGAGCTCAGTTGTGGTGGCTTTTTTGTGGTGTGGAGTTGGAAAGAGTCATGTCAAGGCATCAGCTTTATTGATTCTTGTTGTGACATGGTGAATATGGAAATATTACCAAGATTCAAGTTCAGTATTTCTTCTAAATGAAATGCTGTTCCAAAGGTCCAAATAAAGCAGTTGAAAACAAATAAAGAAATAAAAGCAGATAAGGCAAACATAAATAAATAGGTAAAGTAGGTTCTAGGAACACACTGCAGCTTTCTGTAGAATGGTGCTGGAGTTGCAATTTGAAAAAAACAAATGGCAGCTATTTCGCAGAAGTAATGAGTTCATGTGATGAGAGATGCAGGTTTCCAATCCTTTCTTTCTTGAAAATCTAGATTCTAGATGTCTAAGTTTGTACATATAGAGGATATTGTGGGAGGCTCTGCATCATACTATCATGATCTGATAGATTCTGAATGGTTAATATGTTTATCTTGTATTTTTCTGTATAATATTTTGATATCATGACACCAATTGTTATTTTCTTCTCTATATTTGTTGGTTATTTATGTTCATATGCAATATTATTTCCATGGTTGTCTGTATTGAGTAAGTCGAATGTATTTGACTATTTCCACACTGATAAGACCCAGTGAGGTTCCAAAAACTGGTACGTTTAAGCAGTATAACTCTGCCTAATACAGAGTTTTAATACAACTTACCTCCTCTTGTTCTGCTGCCAGAAGGTCCGTTTTCTTCTTTTACAGTGTTTAGACCTTCAAGGAGCACCTTAAGGTTCCCAGGACTACATTGATGAAACTGACTGACGCTTGGTCTTTTCTTTCCTTTTGTAACCCTCACTTTATGTTCTTCGTTTCACGCAGCTTTTATTCAGTGTCTGACTTCACACTGAAACTTTACAAAGGCCCGGGGAACTGGCGATGGCAAACCCTCTGGTGGCATTCACCCTGATCAAGCGGCCTGCATTCAGATGCGCTGAATGTCCGTCCGTTACAGCAACGAAGCCTTGGAAGAACACACAGGTTGGTCTCACTGGCCTGCTTCACAGACACATCTGGTGGTGATAACTAACCAGCCCACTCTTACTCTGCTGCACCGACCCCACCCTCCCCACCCCCGAGGCATCCTGCAGTTCAACCCTTTGTGGCTTTACTGCTGTCACCTCATGGTCCAACGTTACGACGGACATAAGAGGCCGATCTGCCCAAACTGGAAGACCATCCCAGGGGCCGGCCAAGGGCTGATGAGGCTGACAGGATGTGTACTGCTGCTCCAAGTTACGAGCCTCAGTCAAGGGTCGTTTCCAGAAGTCTCTTAATGGAAGCCCTATTGATATCTACCATGCCAACGAGTCATTCTGTCCACTGTCTGGCTGATGACTGTTTCTGGTTGGAAGGTTACACAATTCCAATATTTCTTTGTTGCTTTAACAATAGTTTAACCTATTTCTAATGGTAATGGAATCACTCAGACCTTTATTTAAGCAAAAGTCCAATACAATATCTAATATACACATTTTCCTGTATCACTACAGTATTTATCCACTAAATGTACTTTAATAGTATCAAACAGTACGCTTCTGCAGAATAATTTTTTCTGACTTTGTACCTGGTAGAGGTGGAGGCAGGTTTTTACTTATTTTAATATACAGTTACTAGGTGAGTACGTGGCTCCAACCTAACGGGCTTGGGGCCTCTGCAAATCCAAGTCACAAGAAAATCTGTTGGGTTGTGGGATGATTCATGAGAAAAGTTTGCACAATGTATGTTTCATCTTTTTTTTTTAATCTTTTCT